GAGAGAGAGAGAGAGAGAGAGAGAGAGAGAGAGAGAGAGAGAGAGAGAGAGGAAAAGAGAGAGAAGCTTGATCGGCTTTCTCTCGGTTGTGTGCACCGGTAATGGCGCCGCGAGACCTTGCCGCAGCCTTGCGTTTTCGCCCCGAGGCTGAGAACGCTATTTAAATATACACGTACATACCATGTCGTGCAGGTGTAGGGGGAACTATGGTCGTAACTCTTCACTCTCTCTTTCTCTCTCCTCAGTGTCGATAATATATCCCTTCCCGCAAGGTATATCGAGCGCCGCTATTACCGGAATCACAGTCAAGGTGCGTGCTAAACATTTAAAAACCGATCGTGTTCCTCTTTCGAAGAGTCATCATTTAAAAATGAAGATTTAAGCGTGGAATGTAAGGAGAGAGTGATAGAAGTGTAAACGAAGCCTCCTAAGAGGCGAAAATTGAGACAATGAAACGTAAAAGAAGCATAAACATCTCTTTTACGTTTCGTTGTCTCAATTTTCGCCTCAAAAGCTTCGTTTACGCTTCTGTCACTTCCGTTACATTCGACTTATGCTTGAATTTTTATTTTTGCCAGGGCGCCTCAGATCGAATCACCAGAATGGGCGAACGAGAAATTCTGGATCGCCTTGATTCCCTTGAGTTCCTGTTCCGTCTTCCTCAAGGTTCCTCCGTTGAAGTCAATGCTCTTCTCTTTCGTCTCTCCTCTTTATTCACGATTTTTTTTTTTTTTCGATAACTCAAACGAGACGCGAAAGGTCACGAAGAGGAATGACTGCACAGGAATGACGGAGTAGGGATAAGTTTTTGCATTTGTTTATTCTCAATCCTTCAAGGTTTCCGGCCTTTCATTGTAGTCATACTTGGAGGAGTTGAAGGGTTAAATTTCTTGGAATATAATCATTATAAGTGCGCAGTCCGTTGACCGCGAATAATGAGAAAACAATGTGTAGCTCGTATCTGAAGATCGATTGTATTTTAAAATGAGATAAAAAATACAAAAGTGAGCAAAATTCACTAGGTGTTGTGTGATCAATAAAATTAATAAATAAATATTCTAATATTTTTTATGTTCATATATAATGGTCCAATAAGTTCCTTTAATATTATTTATAAATATTGTAATAAGTTTGCAATTTTTGTAATTACAAAAAATTACAAAAAAATTCAATGTGGATAAAATTTCGGGAATTGTAAATTATTGATATTCGTTTCAGCGACGCGTATTAATAATTTACAGTCCCCACAATCTTACCTATATTGAATTTTTTGCATCAATGACTTGCGTTTCGGAGCTAAAGTTGGACAGGTTTGTTCTAAAGGATGTCCATTGAGCATGAAATTATTAAATTGTCAATTAAATTTATGATATTACTACGATAGTTTAATTGCATTTCTAAGTCCGAAAACTCAACTCGGCATGCAGTTTAAATGACCGCATAAATAATATCTGGAGACACGGTAGTGTCTCGGCGCTAAGACATGGCGCAAGACACTATAATGTGCTCCTTTAAGCCGGTTCTACATCAATTGCAAGCTGATCTCAAGTTTGTTGCGACAGCCAATCTAAAGCTTGCATTTTGAAATCAACGCTTCATATTAGCTATCGCAACAAACTTGCAATTAATGTAGAACCGACTTTATGCGAGCTGGTAAGTTGCATTAGATATAAATTCATTCAATAGAATTATTTAAGCACTTAAGACACAACTTCAATCCTGAAATCCATATCCAACAAGTATAATAATATCAGCAGGAATTATTATTCTTAAAGACACGAGTAAGACTTGAATATTTCCTATATATTCGTTCCGAGTGTATCGTTGATGGAAAGTTAAGTCGAAGCTGTCAGTTTTCATTGATAAAGTGATTAATCGCGGACCTACGTGAACGTAATTTAAATTAGGGAATATCGCGAGTCTTGAAAAAAAGGCCACATTTGCATCAGAAGGTACTATGTCTAAATGACTATCTCTGAAGAAAGTAATAATTTTCAAATTATATAACACATAAAAATTTTTTATCTATCTTCATTTAATGCAATGTTAAATGTCCTATTCACGATGCATTCAATCAAAATTGAAATTGAAATTTTCTAAAAAGTTCATTATTTGTACTTCTAAAATATCTTTACTTAATCTTATTATAAATATTATAAATATATTATAAATATTTTTTAATTTTTTATCTCACACTTTCTTAAAAATCTCTAATTGGATTTTTCCATTATACTATGTAACCTCACCACTTTATTTTATTCTCGCCATAGTGGAATCAGAATCCACCAATCAATCTGATTCTATCATGATTCTTGCCATGATTTTTGCATTTCTCAGTCACGGACAAATCATGAAGAACTGAATTTGATGATTAGCCATTAAATAGTATTGAAATTTAGGTTGGATAGGATTGAAGTTTAGGTGGAGATTCGAGATTGAAATCTGAATTTTGATATTGGAGATCAAACTTGGGATTTGAAGAACGATGAATTCAGGCCTTATAAGTTTCGTTTGTCGAATACTGTTTTTTTAGTTTCCCTCCGTCTGTGTTTTATTACCAACAGCCTTTATAGAAATTTATACTAATCAATTTAATCACTTATTTCGAATAGTAAAAGTAGTGTTAACGGTACTAGAAAAGTTACGTTTAAATTGAAAAAAAAATCATTTCTTTCGTTAATTTTTTCAAGTTAAAATGAAAATACTTTTAAGGAAAATAAAAATTTACTTGATTTCAAGAAATAACATTTAAATAAAAGAAGATTTTCTTTGATGATATAGTAAATTTCTTTCATTCAAATCAGTTTTTTTTTAATCGAAGAAATACCCTTTTCTTTGGATAAAAACAGATTTGTGCGTCCACCCCGCTTCAACGAGTATTGACAATGAATGTTTTTACAGGTCAGCGTGAACAATCACGGAAACCTGAGAAGTGGCGATCCGTCACTCCGTGACTCGACGAGCCGGCATGCTCCTACGTTGTCCTCCGGACTGAGCTTCCTGGTACGTGAGTCAGGATCACCGGAACTGCCCGGCGGCCCGGTGGCCTCGTGGCGAGGATGAGTGCCAAGATATCGACGGTCAGCCGCGACAGCGCGGCACAGTCAACGACGAGCCATCGCGCCACGAGATCGTCGCCCGTCAAGAGATCGTTGTCGCCGGGTAAGTGACACGACATGTTGACAATGACAGGTATCGCCCATTGATCTTCACTATGGATTTTCACCCGTAAAATTAGATTTGCAGCTGACACTGTTGAAAACTGGATTTGTATTATGAATGATTTGTCTATATATATATATCTTTTTATTTTAATAATCTAAATAGGCTAATTGGGTTTTATAAGGTGTTGTGTTTATTAATAAAAAAAAGTTTCTGTGACACATTGTGAATAGAATTCGGGTAGACGACTTTTTTATGTGCCGGTTGAATTAGTGATTGTTTGCAAATCAAAATGTGTGAAGAATGAGTAGTACATTGTTTACAGAATCTTGCAAAGTGATACAAATATATTTTATTTTTTTCGTTTATTAATTATTACAATTAATTATTACAATTATTGAAATTAATAACTCGTTTTTAATTTTTGGAAGTACAAATTTAGTAATTTTACTTATAATATTGTGTGTAACATTTTTTTAATTCAGAAAAAATAATTTAGGCAGTAAAAGCCTAATGTTTTTTTTACACAATTTGTATAAAGACAGTATAATAAGATTGTTAGTATAATAAGATTATTAACTTGTTTTCTTTATTGTTATTTAAATTTAATTATTTTGCATTTAAATTTAATTATTGATTATTTTGAATTAATAGATAATCCATTAAAGTCTGTATTTGTATACAATTTTGTAATTAACATTGACAAACATTTATTATACAGAAATTTATTGAAGTTGATAAGATTTTTATATTAATACACACATAAATTTCCTTGTTATTTGTAATTAACTACATTTAGTTTGTCTCTTTTGTTTCAAATTTAATATAATTGCAAGTCATATTGTAATTAATACTGACAAACATAATTTTTATTGTTATATAGAAATTTATTGAAGTAGGATTTATACATTAAAAGTATATTTATTCCTATTATTTGTAATTAAAAATTACATTTAGTTTATTTCTTTTTTAGAAAAAATTGTTACACTTCATATCGAAAATCAAGAATAAATTATTTTTTAGTCACTATTTTTTTCTACTATTTTTATTAATGTTATTTAAAAACCTTTTATTTAGTCGATGTAAGCATTTTTTCATATAAAAAAGAGCACCATTTTAAAAGAATGAAGCCAAGATATTTCGCAAGTATTGGATTTTCTTGACCATTAATCGTATGACTCAGAGTTGCAATCTCAGGCCACTGATGAGTTTTGTATTGATAGTTTGACATTTATTGGCTATGTATACATGTATCGTAAAAATGTATGATTCAAAGCAAGGACAATTAAGATGAAAAAAGAATAAACTTAAAATAGATACGAAATAAAATTGAGAATTACATATTATGCACTGTAATAAATTATAGTTTAAAACAATAATTGGATAAATTTAATTATATTAATTATATAAATTTATTTATTTATTTTAATTATGCAGCATCAAAAAATTTGTATTATATATTAATAATCTATTTATAGAAAACAGTGTGTCTCTAAGTTACAATATTTTACAGTATTCTTCTGATTAAAATCAAAAGATGTCGCAAAGGCTTTTAAAATTCAGATATAAATAATGTTTTATTCACTGAAAGAATCTGATAGTGGACAGTATGTAAATGTATACAGGAAATATACAGATTCGGCTTGTTTACTCATGTGAAAATATAGAGATTGTGCAATGATATCGACATAGTTATTAAAAAAAGTGCTGTCACACTAAGTAATATCACATAAAGTTTTGCAATCCGCATACTGGAGCAATGACACACACGATGACACCGAATGATGACGCACCATCGTCCACGTCAGGAGATTGCACGCAGTCAATCAACTCAAACAAAGGATGTATATACCTGGCCTCACGTTTTTTTTTTTCATTTCACAGAGGCCAGTGGCACAGAGAGATCGCCGAAGCGTGCAGCCGTTTTGGAGCTGAAATCGTCCTCGAACGGAATTTCTGGCCGATCGTCATCTGAAGAAATCAATGAGATGCCGGTTCTAACAAGAATTTGCTCTCCTGCGACATTACCGAGGTTAAAGAGATTTCGATTTCGACCCATTGATGGTAAGTCATGTTTTTTTATTAATTTTATCTGCGTCGATTAATTGCATTTAGTAGAAAAAACAGTTTTGCTGCTATTGTAAGATTCTTTAATGTGATTGATTTATACATTAAATTCAATGAGGAACTAATGGGCATAAACTAATTATATTTAAAAAATCTTACAATAGCAAATAT